TATAAATAGAAAAAAAGTTCAGATCCAACGACTCGGAGCGCACCAGGTAGACAGGATGCGCAGTATTTAGGTTTGTCATGTCGATTTATGCGCCACTCTCAAGAGCAGGTAGCTGTCATTACCACTCGATGTTTCACTCAGAATAAAACCAACGTTTGCTCATTATCGTGGTGGGGAAGAATGCAAGTTTTTTTCTCCATAGAGCATGTGTATGGTCTTGATTGCAAACTAGATTCCATGAGGAGTTTAAACTTGGTCCAAGTGTCTAACTGTACGACTTCGTACTTATTTCTAGCACATTGATGCATCCTATATCTGCTCAGGCGTTGGAGCACGATGAATTCACCGTAGGATACGTAGGCTTATCATAAATGAGCATTACAGTTTGCCGATAACTTGCAACAGCAACTAGGTTTCCATGTCACCGGAGAAGACGGTGAAAGCCACAGTTGAAGCTAATCTAACTTGACAGACAACCAGAGTAAAACAAGCCCCAAACCGGTCTATAAATATCGCCCTATATATGAGAACTAGGTAAAACACATTTGCGAACCAATTTAGTTTTAATGGGAGATTCAACTGAATCCAGATGAATCTCTAGTTTATGTTCTTCGAATTGATGAGCTGCACAATGTGACTTCTGCATCTGGACTTGTCCTGTTTAGGCTTGGACAACCTGGCAGTATCCCAGACTTCGAGTGGCATGGCTGCTAGGCACCGAAAGGGTGTTACGGCAGGACGACAGTACATACAGTATGTAAGTGAAACCAATCTACGTTGGAAAGCCAAGAAGTACTGTACAGCCGTTTCACCGTTACGGGGGAACCATCAGCAGTGCATATCTCAAGAAAACTCAGGAAGATTTTAGCCCGCGACCACGCGGTTATTAGTAGGAACTCAACCGTTCGACTACGAGCTGCTGATCAGCATTCTGACTAACTCGCACACAGACAAGATAAACAGCCACTCATCTTTGAGTCACGGCATCCACATCAAGTGGTAACGTGGTGACTAGTTCATCGAAAGACAACTTCTCAGTTACCATTCGCAGTTATTCTCCCTCTGAGCTCGTGGCCGAACGACTAAGTGTACAAACTACTAACCAGAAGGTCGCGAGTTGGAGACGATTGCCCGTACGGGTGGAACAGTAGGGCAGTGTTTTCCGGCTCTTGAGCATAGACTGGCTCCACTAAAGCTGATGATTTTTTAAGGTCCTACTCAAACTGGCCAGGATGTGTGGGCTTACAATGCTTAACTTTACTGGTGAATGTGCTGATGATAGATAAAGCATTCTTTCTGATAGATTATTATTTGTCAGTACGCTGGGGTGGGGAGCGTAACCAAGTAATGAGGGTATAGAAAGACAATTTATTTTGCTATGGCAAAACAAATTACCGAACCACGGGGGACCCAACCAGGGAAACAAGTTTTCATTTCCTCGGAAAACTTAGTTTCCCAAGTAAGACCACTTTCAGATAAAGAGAGACGTTCAGCTGTAACATCTTTCGGTGTCTAGCTGCCATGCTATCCGAGGGAAGTACGGGGACTGAAATACTGCCAGGCTGCCCAAGCCGATACAGGAACAATCGAGATGCAAACCATTTCACAGTTCTCATAGTCGCCCTTATAAGGGGCGTGGCTTCCTGAACCAGTACTCACTGAGTCAGAAATATATACTCATTCAGTCAATATTCCGACGTGTTGACTCGCAATAAACAAGCCTACGCACAGTTGGTCTATGAACAATCAACCGGGATAAATTGGTCAGAATCCCATATAAGCTATGAGCCACTAGTGCTATTTTGTATTCCGCAACTGCCTTTTACTCAGACAAGAAACCCCTAATGATCTATGCCAACCAGCCTCAGAACCGACCTAAAATGAGACTAGTCACTCACGCTTGTGTCCTCATTGTTCTTGTGAGCCGATCTGACGAGACGTGAGTAATAAACGCTACTTTCGGACAATGTCCACACATGTCCACGGTCAGAACGCTAGGCTCTTCACAAGTTAATGTTAACACCTCAACAACCTGACAGTACATTGGACCTCGGGCTCCCGAATGAGTGCCGTAAATGAAATGTGTTTTCGGAAGAGACCTTAAAGTCCAGGACGGACAAGAACAGGTATCCATGAAATAGTCCAACTCAAAAGTGTAACTGACCGGAATCCATCATGATGGGCATCGACAGCTCAAAATATTCGGACAAACAAACAGAAACAACTCACCCACAAGCGCAAGTATCACAGTCATGAAAGGGGTTGCTGGTATCCCAACCGCCACATTCGTCTCGAATACTTGGAGAATGTCCGCTGCGAGGACAATATAAAAGGTATCATTACCATGGAAACTAGAATGCTTCAGATAGCGAAATCATGTACAGTCATGTAAGAAATTCAAATTCATGTCTTGCAGAGAATACACGTAGACTAAGTAGCGGGGGGGGGGCAAAATTTCCGGCAATGTAACGCGTAGTTGTGCGGACAATGATAGGTAAATAAACTCGCACCGTTCCAATGCAATTTACAAGCTAGAGTGACTAATGTAGCATCTCACAACATAATGGAGCGCGAATTACCGAAATTCGTGCCTATGACCGCTTATCGGAAAACTGCAGGCGAAACCAGGTATCTCATGGGGTGAACAGCTAATTTCCCAAGATATTGAGAAAAAATATATTGTACTACGCAGTAATTCGCCTACAGTAGTTTGCAACTTCTGTGTGCAATAATACCGATTCTCAGCAGACTATGATGAACCCATAAACCACGGATGGTTTATATCCCAACCTTGCACAAGTAGAAAAACTGAACAGTCTGTTCACCCCACAATGCAGTAACCCGAAAAAGATACCAGTCTTCACTAAGTACAAATGACTGTAGTCGTACAGAAGGTAACGGTGGTTTCATTCACACGAAGACGCTGAAACGTACCGATAACGAGAACCAGTTGGTGACTCGAGTACCGTAAGAGCACAGATACGCAGAAAGTCTAAAAGAGAAAGATAAATAATGGAGGATAGAGGCGATCGAGGATGTTGTGACCATTCGGCGCCCCCTGGAGGTTGTAAAGTTATTACTGCGTCTGTCACGGTTGTAGGTGTCCAATTTATGGATTACATAGTCCATTCGGTGAAAACAAACATCTAAAGGGAATTCTTGCTCACCGAATTGGCCACTAACACCGGCGGGACAAAAATCTCCTTCGCGTAATATGTTTAAAAAGCAAACATTGAAGCGGACTACGATGAAGTAGAACGCGTCACAGCAATCCAATCAAAAGGCAAGTTGAACAAGAGATGAATCTTCGTCATCCAGTAACTCAAGAAGACCTTATGCAAAAAAAAGTGAAATTAGCCGCTTCATTCAGATGACATGTTAGCTCAAGGATCTTGATCGACATTGTCCTTGAACCCGACAGCTCTACAAAACAGCCAACTCAGGAAACAGAGCAGTCAGTATTTTGTCATCCAACATCTCATGTGAAGAGTGAAGAAACGGTGACTTCAATAGTTCAGCCCGGTTATCCAGAAACTGAAAAGTGAGCTGTGTATACATGTGACACCTACAGTGGCTGAAGATCTGGATTAATAGTGACAAGTCAGATATAGAACTTCCAGAACGCAAAGCAGCATATGACATACGGTTAGTGGGATTGAAATTGGGCTTCAGTCTGTCAGGATCTGCCATCCGTTCACCGTACTAGATGCTGAATCAACCTCCGTATGGGTAAGTAAGATTTCTAGTCGTAGGTAAATGAATCACCACTGTACGAGCTAGTCCAACGAACAGCAGCGGCCTCAAACAGCACAACCTCTGAGATACGACGCTTCGACTAGACTGGTACCTACAACCACGCTACACGAAGTGCAACATGCAATCGTCTCGGCCTGTCAAGACAACAAATCATCCGAAGTTTAGAATCCTCAGTGACCTTTCCTGAATACTAGTTACACACATCCAGTTGGGCGATAATAGCCAGGGATGTGTAGTTGACAGTATTCCTTCCATGCAACTTACGCAACACGAACATGTCATTCAGGTAACCCTGTTGGCTGTCGGATTTTCACCAATCTGTCAAACGCAATGTGTAAGATTAAGAGACCGTTTGAATGTTAGATTCCAATGGGAGCTTGATGGCTGGCTGTCACCGCAGATTTAGGCAGACACACTCGAGAACGCATAAGAATCTATAGAGGGAAACGGATGTAAAAAAAATGCAATAGCGACGGGACTCAAGAATCTATAGAGGGAAACGGATGTAAAAAAAATGCAATAGCGCACGGGACTCACAAACAATAGCATAACCAAAGTGGCGACCAGGTAGGAGGATCGAGACATCTGGGCGGAAACAAGACGGTAGTGTTGCCCGGATACCACATTAGCCATATGTCCCTTGACTGATTCGCTGACAGCCAAGTGTTTGATACTGCCCAACAGGAGGTCGTCGTAACCCAAGAACTCCTCCATTAGAAATCGACTGACGACCCCTCCAAAACAGGCGTCTACATCGGGGTCTACGCAACATGTTCAAGAACAATAAGCAAAGGATATGAAAATAAATGAAAAAAGTAAACAAGGAGATCACGGTATAATCTATGGAGCGAAAGGTTCATGACTGGCTTAGTCGATGCAGTGATGCATACTGTCGTAGCATCAGCAAATGCGAAACAGTCGTGCTACTGAATAGATTTGAGTAGGTGACAATTTCGAACAATTCAAATACAACCGAGTCTACGCCGGGGATCCAGAAATATAGTGAGAACAGCGATAGGAATACCTGAAACTAGTTTTAGGATCACAATCCTCTACAGATTGACCACAGGGACATTAGTAAATATTACTGAAGTGTAAAACTGGGAACAAGGCGGGAATTAGCAGACTCCGATGGATACGGTTCCGGTGCAGGAGGACCCGGATTCAGCCAATGAAGTCTAATTTGCCGGCGATAAAGGCGCCCGGAGATATGGCACTAAACTGGAAAGAGACAATAACTATTTTGCCACCAGGTTTAGTGACTTGGATGTGTGTGAGTTGAGTGTCTCATTACGATAACATTCCTCATCATCGCCACTACAGCGAGCAAAGTGGCACTGACAACAAAGCTTCACGGTAGACTGCACCCGAATGTTTCCGGATTAAATCTTATACAGGACAGGTTGATGGTGTTTTATCCAGAACCGAAAAATTCTTACAAAGACTTGGCCCCGACAAAAAACTAACTGTGGTGGGTGGTGCTAGCTACTGAAGGAACTCCTTGGTTTTTATAGATCTTTTCAAACTGGTCAACTTTCTCGTGAAGAAAGCTTTGAAACACCACTCGCACAACAGTGGAATAAGTAATCAGAAACCATAATACAGCAACTCCAAGGACGGCAAACAACATATGAATTGCGGAGTTAGGGGAAAAACATATGCGATGTGAAAATAATTAGAAGAATGAAATGGTTTCAGACGAAAAAGCAGTTCTAAAGATCATTCCTTATAAATTAAGTTTTACTTTGCTTAGCGAATTTCCCAGATATGGAAAGAAAACTGATAAACAGTGGAATAGTCCTAGCTTTTGATGTGCGTTACAACCAATTTGTCTTGAGGCTAGGAGTGGTCAAACAAACTGGATTTGAACTGCCACAAGTGACTCCAAAGTGCGGAGGGAATCAAAACAACTTACCCAAAACCACAAGTTTCACAGTGATATTGAGACGCTTGCGCATTGCCGGTGATAAGCGCAAGAAACCATATTCAAGTGCGTACTCAATAATGTGATTGTCTTCGTGTGCTACATGGATGGAAAACGTTAATTATGAGTGGTGTTGGATTCGGTAAATGAAGATGAACAAAAGATTTAAAAGCTCCATTACAGTTAGACAAATGCAATCCCCCTTGAGTCGGACAGAGGAAATTTGGAAAGCGAATACAACATTTGGGATAAATGAATCAGAGGTAGATAGAAGACCTGTGCGCAACAGGGCAGGGCGATGTACCTGCTGCATTCAGATATCATGATAAGTAGCTCACGGTGTACCTATACAAGTTTGCACATCTGTATACTAATCTAAAGACAACTGGATGAGACTTGGAAAAGTTTAACCTGTGGAATCACACCTGCAACATGACTATTTTCTCCTTTAGGAAATTTCCATTTAGAAATGAGACATCGCTGTACCGTGAATGGCCGTCTATTGGTTGCACCTCAACTGAGCCTGCCAAACTACGCGGTAAGAACATAGAGAACCTGGAAGATGGCCATATTGTCAGAGCTTCTGCGTAAATACATAGGATGGCTAAATGTCCAAACATAGTCATTCGCTTGTTCGCTCTGTCCAACCGATGGAGACCTTCCTACCGCGAACATTTTCAGCCCAAGACGCTGATCGCATCATTCGAAGCCGTGTTTGGTAAGCTCTGCCAACGCACGTGCTATCCGGAACATGTGGTGCCGATGGTGATCTTTGGGACGCGTAGTTCTCTGGACGTGTACTCTCGTGTCTGGACGCTTCCTGACAGACATTCTTAGGATTGACATCACTAAACTATGCAATCCACGCCGGTGCATCTTGTAAGAAGCACCGATGGACATGCGATGGTATCAGGTTCATCAAAGGACGAAACAGTATGCTATCTTAAAGATCACATTAAGTGGTTTAATACGAGATAAACGGGCAGGTTCGGAATATTTCCCAGTTCGCCGGGACATGCGATGGTATCAGGTTCATCAAACGACGAAACAGTATGTTATCTTAAAGATCACATTAAATGGTTTAATACGAGATAAACCGGCAGGTTCGGAATATTTCTCAGTTGTATTCGCCAGACAGGTAACCAAACCATACCTGCCTTGAGAGTGAGCTATAAGAAATCAAACAAACAGTCGGACTACTGCCAGTGAACCGAAAGCCGCTTAGCATACGTTGAATTACTCGGCCAGATGCAGAGGTTTATGGGCGACGGGTGCGTGCAAAATGGAAAAAGGCATTTCCAGTAGACTGAGATGGGATTCAGAAACCCGAAAATCAAAACATTGGCATATGACTTAGCCACAACGCGGACGCTCAGCGAATCGGTGGCACAACAAGAGCTCATACATAAGGAAGCAGATAACGACCGCTCTAAACTTGTAGCGGTCATTCTCATGTTTCTTCAACCAACTTCGTTCACTTTGTTTACACCAGCAGTAAAGGTTGGTTTCTCAACTTCAGTTGCATCAACACTCAACATCAATACTCAACATCAACACCCCCTCTGTTTATCTACCGCCATTCTGGCACAATCACCCATGAATCTGATTCACTCAAGTCCAGGTCCTGTGTGGGATCACCTAACAGCATTTTATGTACTACCTTCCTGAAATAGGAGACAACTTACGCGGCATTTAAACACTGACGAAACTAAGTCACACACTTAGTTACTCATCAACATCATTAAACGCAGTAGTTTATCAGGGCATAAACCACTAGAACGACTACTAAGCGGAGAATCTCTCGATGGAACAAACAGATCTCAAGTGTTGCGACGGCTTTGTATCATGGGGACCAAAAAACTTATGAAGCCTTGTCTAAACAGCTATTTATGAAACGTTTACCAGCCTATCTATAAGCGATTTGTCCTTCCAGTTCCGAGTGTTCCGCACGCTGGACTTGCAAGCATAGTAGATAACATATTGGAAATTCAACCATGCTCATCTGGCATTTCTTCCGTAGATACACCAGCTTTTGTGCCCGCTCTTCACGGCCGTCTCGACGAATTTATTAATCAGGTAGCAGGCATTCGTTGTCTAGACCTCCACTAATTTCTCCGCACATTTTCGTGTCCACGCCCACCTTCTCGAACACATTCCACCTCCAGGGGAAATGGTCATTCCTGGTGCTATGGCAACTTTGGAAATCGTGCAACCAAATGGTCTTTCCGAAATAGCCACACATCCCCTCGGTCATCGTCGGAAAACACACGGATAGAACTCGATGCGAGCAAAGTTCAGTGCCCCACTCATATCGCTCGCCACTCGACAAATATTATTAGAGTAGCTTTACTCTTGTACGGCAGTGAAGCAACAGTGTGTTCGGACGCCAGCCGTCCCTAATAACCGAACATCACGCAGTTTGGGCTATTTGAATTTTTAGACATGCCCTTCGGCCTTTGCAATGCAGCACAAACATTTCAACGCTTCGTCGATCAGCTTCTGTGTGGTATTCCTTTTGTTTTTGTATCTGGTTACCAGTCTCACACACTCACGGCATTTAGAACATTTGCACATTTTGTTTAATCGTTTAAACGAATATGGCATTATCATTAATGCTAAAAAGAGTGCTCTTACCTCACATCCAGTAACTTTTCTTGGACATAGCTTTGAGTAAACCGGATTTCGCCGGTCGGGCAGAAGCTCGACCTTTCCTTCCTTACATCTGTCAACCGAGTTAAGCGTCTTGTGGGAACGATGAATTTCTATCGCCATTTTATTACCAGCGCTGCAAAACATCCGGCACCTATTACCAACCTGCTAGCCGGTAATCCTCCTGCTGAGAAACTGCACTTTGATGACACTCTTAAGCAAGCCTTTGAACGGGCTAAATCCTTACTGGCTCATTCTTTAGAATTATTTCATCTACAACCTGACACAGTTGTCACTTTGTGTTGACATATTTGTCATAGTTAAAGGCACAGTCCTACAACACTGTTCAAGTTGGGTTCTTTTCCATAAACTCTCAATCGAAGAATCTCGCCACAGCACTTCCGGTTGAGAGTTGCTCACTATTTACTCATCCATTCGCTATTTTCTTGAAGGGTGATAATTTCTTGTTTTTACCGAACACAAACCCACAATGTCCATCCTACACGCCAAATAAGACAAACATTCGACTGAGTGAGCGTCTGGAGGTATAGGCACCTTGGAATGATTGTGATAAGCTAGCACCAAGCCCCCTCCCCGTCCACCTTTACACTTTTCTTTACAATAAGGCTTTCAAATAAATCACGGTTGTACGGCAGTGACGCATCGGTGTTGAACACTGATGTCATGCTGTCGATGATGATGATCAACTAAGTCAGCTTGACTATATACCTCAATGTCACCAACGAAATCTGTCACATAGCAGGACATCTCATTATCGTCGCTGACATCTTGTGTGGCAATTGACGTACTCTACTCAACGCCTAAAATTTATTGCAGCGTATTGCTCAGCTACAAAAGGGTAAACCCACAAACTCACTCACCTGGAACATGGAAGTTATGAAGCCAATGAGAGGCATCGCGAAAAAACTGCACGACCGAAGTGGAAAGGCGAGCGACTGTATTGCCCAGGTAAGACAAAATACGAATGAAATGACGCTTGACAAACGGTTCAGGGGATGCCTTCGGGGACTGCGCTGGTAGCTTGTTGTTGGACCGTAAGGGGACGAATCCATAAATGAACTCAATTGTTTCCCGGAGGTACTGAGAAATATATCCCGGGGCGGAAAGGATCGCAGTCCACAGTTTTCCCGGTTCGTGGAACAGTAATCTGGGTCTGGTGCTACCTACCGGTGGCGCTGGCGTGTGAATTGCATTTCCAGCGACTCTACTACCTTCAAGTATATCTGTGTCTACATCTTGTTCATCCTCAGTTGAAAACAGATCGTCCACATCATCACCGTAGTTAAACGCAGAGCCATAAAATTCCTTCGCATAGGAATCCGCCAGACTGTATCGTGGGTCAGGATGTCGGATGACCTCGACTCGTAAAATACCATAACGAGGCCACGGTTCTCTGGGTGTACTTGGATCTCCAGGGGCATAGTGATTTCGCGCAATCGGTTCCGGTTCATCGAACAAATTTACGGCGCTCTCTAATATGGGAGCTGGTTGGTAATTGGTGCGTAGTTTATCCAGGCACGTGATGGGGGATCGGACGAACATCAAATGCAGGTGGATGAAAACACCTAACACGAAAAATGCCTGAAAATCCCAGAGAGAAAGGGTGATGCAAAATAAGTAAGGGTTAACAATATACCGCACCCTACGATGAGAATAAATGCAAACCGGCCTTATTTGATGTCCGTACCGATTTCGCTCCGAAGCCAGTGCAGAAGTTCACATGAGTTAGCCACATATCTGACTGGAGGAAGTTCAGATGCATTTAAAAGGAAATGGCATTTAATGAAGTAATGACACCGTCTTCTAAAGCTCAGCACATATCAAGATCCGCAAACCGATTCTCAGACCCAACCTCGCCACCTCAAAAGCCTGATGGAATTTAAAGGAGTATATCCGTCAATGAGCTCCCGAAGGGTTGCGCTGAGGTGACGTGTCAGCGGCGTCCATTGTTGAATGATTTCATTTGGTTGTTGTTTCGACAATAACAGGAACACACAATGACGCAGTCAGCGAATCGATGACGTTGTCGTATGAAAGTTAATGCGCGCGGTGCGTCCCACTAAAACAAACGAGCACGCCGTTGCACTCTTAGTCACACACCCTTTCACACCAAGTCCCTCAAATTGACCGACAGGAGTATGGATGATCCCACAATATTTTCCCTAGATTGGTGGAGAAAATTATGTATTCTGGAATCACGGTAACATTGGTAGACGGCTTATCTCTGTCAAACTGAACCGATTCTGCTAAGGTAACTTACGTGAACCGGATCCGAACGATAGGAAAAACGGGAACCATGAGTGTACTTATCTACAGGATGCGACGAATGAGAGACCGCCGTTGCGCGTATACAAATACACATAAACAAATCATGCGTGTTTGTGAAAACGGCCTTACATTGTCATCCAGGCGTGGCGTGATGTGTTTAGGCATTCAACGTAGCGATAGCATAAAATAGTGTGATACAGAAGTAGATCAAAAGAGAAGTTCACTATCTCACAACTAGTGGAGTTCAAACACAACGTTAAATAGTCGTCCCCAATGAGCAGGAAATTTAGTGGAGATGACAATATTCTCTAAAAAGCTGTTCTATTACAGAAAGTTACTCCTGGCAATCACAAATACCCATGGTATTAAGGACACAGATGCGAACAGCCTCGGAGCTCAACCCAGAGAGCCTCTTTAACAAGCCAGGCCCGTTGAGGTAGCTTGTTTAGGTGCAAAGGAATCTAAAAACTGACAATTCAGTCAGGATTCACTTTCAAAACAATTTTCATTTGTAAAACACAAGATTCAATGTTATTAGTAGCCATAAGAGTATCGCTTGGAGCTTGCAATGAAAAACAACAGGTTTTTTCAGTGATTCTGTTTCCTGTCAAAATCAGTTGAGACCAAACAAGTTAGTGATACGGTGAGTGAATATCCTAGTGTCCGATCACTATTTACTTCAAGAGATAAACTGATGTGGCCGAACCAAACAACCAATATCGGCGACGGTTTGGACGACCCATGAGCGCATTATAGGTGCTGGCCAAAGGGTAGTGCACCGCCATCGAAGTGAAGGCACAGAGTTGTATTCAGCTCACACGTCTAGGCAAGTAATGCCAAGGTTGAAAGACGCCGCCCACATCCAGAACGCATGTGTTAGAGGTATCTGGCAAGAAATACACTTTTCACCAATTGCAGCTATTTCTGAGGATTGCACCTAATCGAACGCACCTCCGATTATACACGTTGTAGGATTCACGCAGCCATTAGTCAAACCTACCTCAGTCATTCGGTCATCCTCCATACTGAAAGCCTAGATGGGCAAATTTGTAGAGCTCATCCAACACTGACTAAATCTACACCAAATGCCTCGATAAGTTCGTTTTCTACATAGGCGTTCGCAGATCAGTCTACTACACCTCATGAACGCATTTCTACTTTGCTCCGCTGGTTACTCGGAGTTTTTCTGGGACAATTGCAGATGGGTTGCAGTACCCTCACACTTACTTGGGTTTGCGCAAGCATCCCAAAGCGTGAGTGTCTACCGAATTAATCGGAAGTCCTATTATATTGACGACAAATGCCCCTGGTTAAGCACTTTTTGTTGCGTCCTGGAAGACTGTTTTCTTAAAGGGAAATATCGCATAGTATGGATGTTAAGTTC